CCCGTCCCGGGGGCGAGGGGGCCCCTACTGCCGCGCCTGCCATGGCGACACAGAGGGATGCTCCGGCGTGAGCCCTCGAGTCCCCCAACAGCAGCTCTCCCCATTCTTCCTGGGACCACCTGGGGCTGGAGACAGCCTCTGAGGGAGACCCAGTGCACCAAGGGGGCTCAAGGGCTGCACTGCCCTCCTCCGGTGAACAAGCTGAGTAGGCACAGCACTTGCCATAAGAGCTGTAGGGGGTGGCAGGGTGGGGGGTGGCCCCCCCCCGCCCCTGTCCCAGCCCACTCCCTCCCTCAGCAGATGCCCGACTACAAGCATGCTACGCTGCAGGAGGATGAGGGGCCGGAGCCAGCGGGGGATGGCAACGCCTCTCCCGACAGTGTGGAGGTGAGGTCTGCCCTGGTCCCCCCATCCTTCCCCTCTCCGTTCTCCTCGCCCCTCCCCCCCCTCAACCTCAGCCGGAGCCTGCCCGCAGCTGAGTGGGCAGCAGAAGGGCCAGGAGCCAAGCCTGCCCTGGCTGTCCCCAGGGATGGGCTGGGAAGCAGCCAAAATGCGGCAGAGAGTGTGCCCAGGCTGTTGTCCTTCCTTGCTGTGGGGGGAGCCTCCAGCACCCACCGCCAGCTTGATGCGGGCAGGATGGGGTGGGGATGCCCTGGAAGAGGGAGCAGGGAAGCTCTGTGTCCCCCATGGTGCAACAGCAGGTCCTGCTCCTGCCCAGGTGGGGTTTCGGAAGGGGCCGGGGCCGCTGCGGAGCCGCCTGGCCTCCCGCAGCCAGCTGGAGCTGGTGCTCTGTGCTCTCGCCGTCTCCCTGGCCCTGCTGCTCAGTGCTGCTGTCGTCGCCCTGGCCATCCAGTACCGCCGAGGTAGGGAGGGTTCCTGCAGCCCTGCTGGGGCAATGGTGGCATCCCCCCACCTAGGGGACACATGGCAGGATGGGGTTCCTGCTTCAGGTGCTCTGCCCGCCCCAGGGTGCAGGCAGGGCCAGCCCCGCTCTGTGCCTCAGTTTCCTCCAGCACACACACCCAGCCCCAGGCATGCCTTCCCTGCCAGATCCCTCTCACAGCACGTGCCTGACGGACGCCTGCGTCCGGGTGGCCAGCAAGATCCTGGAGGCCCTGGATGCAGAGATGGACCCGTGCCAGGACTTTTACCAGTACTCATGTGGGGGCTGGATCAAGAGGAACCCATTGCCCAATGGGCGCTCCAAGTGGAGCACCTTCAACAGCATCTGGGACCAGAACCAGGCCATCATGAAGCATCTCCTAGGTGAGCACCAGGGGAGTCACAGCCACCAGGGGGTGACCTCTGGTCACAGGCAGGCAGAGCACTAGAGTCCCCCGGGCTGACCCGCTGCCTCCCACAGAGAACACCACCTTCAACTCCAGCAGCGAAGCCGAGCGGAAGACACAGCGGTACTACCTGTCCTGCCTCAAGGAGCAAAGAATAGAGGAGCTGGGCTCCCAGCCCCTCATGGAGCTCATTGACAAGGTGGGTGGCCATCCACACGAGAGCCAAGCTGCCAGGGCTCAGCCCAGTGCATCTCCTGCCCAGCTCTTTGCATTACTGCAGAGGGGGCAGCCCTGGGGACCCTCCTTGAGGCACCAGGTCTATCTACTGGCAGATCGGGGGGTGGAACATTACTGGCTCCTGGAACCAGACCAGCTTCATGGAGGTCCTCAAGATGGTGTCAGGCACATACCGGGCAACCCCCTTCTTCACCGTGTACGTGGGTGCAGATTCCAAGAGCTCCAACAGCAACATCATCCAGGTTGGCAGCTTGGCAATGACGGGTGGTGGGCAGCAGAGGGGAGCATCTGGCTGCCCATGGTGCCCCTCTTTCCTCCCAGGTGGATCAGTCGGGGCTTTTCCTCCCATCCCGGGATTACTACCTGAACAAGACAGCAAATGAGAGGGTGAGGTTGGGTGCTGGGCACCCTGCTGGCAGAAATCAGAGGAAATTGATCCCCCCAGAGAGGTGCAATGAGCTGTGGCTGGCGTTAAGCTGGGGCTCTGGGTCCTGCCAGGTCCTGGCAGCATACTTGGACTACATGGTGGAGCTGGGCACACTGCTGGGGGGAGCACCGGAGCCCACCCGCCTCCAGATGCAACAGGTACTGGAATTCGAAACCCAGCTGGCCAACATCACTGTGCCCCAGGCTGAGCGGCGGGACGATGAGAAGATCTACCACAAGATGAGCATCGCCGAGCTGCAGGTGGGCGCAGCATGGCAAAGCCTGGGGACACCCTCTGGGAACATGAGGCAGCATTGAGGGCAGCAGGGAGCCACAGGAGTGGTTTGGGACAGAGAAGGGATCTGGGGGGGGTGAGAGACTTTGGGACCTTCCCAGGAAGCACAGCCCCTGCCCCAGGGAATTCACCCATGCCAGGCAGGATGGGGCAGAACCATGCCAAGCACCCACGTGCTGCAACTCTGTGTCCTCCAGGCTCTGGCCCCTGCCATCGACTGGCTGGATTATCTGTCCTACGCCCTGGCCCCACTGGAGCTGGCTGACACGGAGCCCGTGGTGGTGTATGGGGACATGTACCTCCAGCAGGTCTCCGACTTCATCAATGGCACGGACAAGAGGTGAGGGGCCCGTGTGCTCCCCCCGCCCCCCCCACCATGCCCTATCTAGGGCTTTCCTCATGGCAGAGACATGTTTTGGGCTCACCGGTGGCTGGGACACCCCCTGTGGACTGTGCCCATGGCCAGCCATGGCACCTCTCTGCCCCCACAGCGTCCTGAACAACTACCTGATCTGGAACCTGGTGCAGAAGACAGCCTCCAGCCTGGACCAGCGCTTCGAGACAGCCCAGGAGAGGCTGCTGGAGACGCTCTATGGCACCAGGAAGGTAATGGGGGTCCCCAGGACCAGCCCCCTCTGCCCCCAGCCTGGAAGCAGCCAGACCCAACTCTGCCCTTGGGATGCCCTTGGGATACTGCAGGGGGAAGCCAGGGATCATCTTTTGGGATGAGGGTTTAGCTGCTGAGCATCTCTCTCCCTGGGGAAGGAGCAGAGTTAGGCTGGAGGCAAGAAGGGGAGCAGGGGAGGGGGCTGGGGGCCTCAAGAACCCCCATCTCACTCCCACAGTCCTGCACGCCCCGCTGGCAAACCTGCATCTCCAACACGGATGACACACTGGGCTTCGCTTTGGGCTCCCTCTTTGTCAAAGCCACCTTCGACCGGGACAGCAAGGCCATCGTGAGGACACTTCTGCCTCTGTGCCCTCCCTTGACTGATAGGGATGTGACCTCCCCAGGGCTGGGGGTCTCATTTTCCTGCTCCCTGCCTTCCAGCCACTGCGGGGAACCCACTTTTTCCCCCACATGCCAGGGCAGGGAGCAGGGACATGGAAACCCAGCCCTGAGGAGGTCACATTCTGCCCACCCTGTCCCTGCCTGAGGGGCTGTTGGGGGGCAGAGGGTGGCAGGGGGTCTTCAATCCCTCACTTCCCCAGGCTGAGGAGATGATTAGCGAGATCCGGGCAGCCTTCGAGGTGTCTCTGGACCAGCTGGACTGGATGGATGAGAAGACCAGGCAGGCTGCAAAGGAGAAGGTGACATGGGGGAGGACAGTGGGTGGGGACACCCCCATCCTGGGAAGCTCCTCTCTGCCCATCTCACTGCTGGAGCCTCTCCCCACACAGGCAGATGCCATATATGACATGATCGGCTTTCCTGACTTCATCCTGGACAACAAAGAGCTGGACGATGTCTACGATGGGGTATGGGGGCACTCAGCTTGTGGGGAGGGGGTCTGGTCTCTGCTGACACCGAGCCTTGGGGAGCTCCATGGTGGGGCCATGTCCCTATTTGGGGAACCCATTTGGGATGGGACATCATGCAGAACCACCCTGGTACCAAGCACATCCTGGCCAGGGTGGGGAAACCCACCACCTCAACCTTTTTCTTTTGCACCAGTACGAGGTCTCAGAGGACTCCTTCTTCCAGAACATGCTCAACTTCTACAACTTCTCTGCCAAAGTGATGGCTGACCAGCTCCGGAAACCCCCCAACCGTGACCAGTAAGGGGCAGGGCCCAGGGGGGTGAGGAGGATGTGGCACTGGCACAGTGTCACAGCACTGTTCCCAGCATGGCTTGGGTGGCACTGGTTAACTGGGAGGAAGGTCCCCCCATGGGGTGGCACAGCATTTGAAGGTCACCCACAGTGGCCCTGGTTTGTCCCCAGACAGAGTTCCTTGGTCAACAAGGTGGGGGCAGCAGTGCCAGCCCTGGGCAGGGCAGAACAGGGGTGGGAGATGGCACAGGAGGGTCTCAGGGTAGGGGAGAGAGGGGACACATCCCTGGCTGTCCCTTGTCCCACCTCCTTACTCCAGGTGGAGCATGACCCCGCAGACTGTCAACGCCTACTACCTGCCCACCAAGAACGGGATCGTCTTTCCCGCCGGCATCCTGCAGGCTCCCTTCTATGCCCGCAACCACCCCAAGTGAGCCTGGCACGGGGGTGGGGGGCATCTTCTGGGGGTGAGAGGGCTGGTGCTGGATCAGGGTCAGCACCCCATAACCCCCACACACAGTCAAGCAAAACCCAGGGGGAATTGAGGGTCCCCCAAGGCTTTACATCCTGCAGCCAAGACAGCCTGCAAAGTCCTTGTGGGACCACCAGTGTCCCCAGCAGGACTCATTCCCAGCTGGGTGCCAACTGCAGCAGAGTCTCCCTGGGTGCCCCAGACACAGAAGGGGTGCCCAGGCTGCGACAGCATCATCCCCCTGCACTTACCTGTCTCTCTCCCATGGCCCCACAGAGCCCTTAATTTTGGTGGCATTGGCGTGGTGATGGGGCACGAGCTGACCCATGCGTTCGACGACCAAGGTGAGAGCCTGCAGGCAGCACTGGCCCCGACCCCCATCACCCTCCTGCCCCCCTCCCTCAGCGTGGGCAAGGGGTGCCACGGGCGCGCGGGGGTCCCGCTTGGCCATCCATTGCATCATGCGTGCTCGTGCCCCCCCGGCCACCCCCCCTTCTATCGTCCTGTCTCCCCAGCCCGCCGGCATCCTGCAGGCTCCCTTCTATGCCCGCAACCACCCCAAGTGAGCCTGGCACGGGGGTGGGGGGCATCTTCTGGGGGTGAGAGGGCTGGTGCTGGATCAGGGTCAGCACCCCATAACCCCCACACACAGTCAAGCAAAACCCAGGGGGAATTGAGGGTCCCCCAAGGCTTTACATCCTGCAGCCAAGACAGCCTGCAAAGTCCTTGTGGGACCACCAGTGTCCCCAGCAGGACTCATTCCCAGCTGGGTGCCAACTGCAGCAGAGTCTCCCTGGGTGCCCCAGACACAGAAGGGGTGCCCAGGCTGCGACAGCATCATCCCCCTGCACTTACCTGTCTCTCTCCCATGGCCCCACAGAGCCCTTAATTTTGGTGGCATTGGCGTGGTGATGGGGCACGAGCTGACCCATGCGTTCGACGACCAAGGTGAGAGCCTGCAGGCAGCACTGGCCCCGACCCCCATCACCCTCCTGCCCCCCTCCCTCAGCGTGGGCAAGGGGTGCCACGGGCGCGCGGGGGTCCCGCTTTGCCATCCATTGCATCATGCGTGCTCGTGCCCCCCCGGCCGCCCCCCCTTCTATCGTCCTGTCTCCCCAGGTGGTGGCACCCGCCGATACCTCCCCCCGGCTTCTCTGTGCAGCTTTCACTCCATCCGCTTGGTGAGGACACGGTGTCTGCAGCCCCGGCCCCCTCCTCATCCTCCTCCCTGCGGGGCACGGGATGGGTCCCTCTCGCATCCGCTCTGCTTTGCACCTTCACTGCAGCCCTGGAGCCAAGATGGGGTCAATAGGGAATCTGGGGAGACAAATCCAGATTGGGACAGTGGGGATGTAGCAGGGGTGGTTGGGGACTGAAGCTCAGCTGACCCCCAGCTGGAGCCCACCTGGAGCAAGGCCTGGGGGACACCATCTCCACTGGGCATAGACCCAAGTTATCAGGTTTCCTCCCAGGGTCCCCTGGAGCTGTCCCTACCACACTCCACCCTGCTTCAGGGGCTCTGCAGGAGGCCGGTGTCCCCTGGTCCCACCTCACCCCATGGCTCGGTTCCACAGGGAGGGAATACGACAAGGAGGGCAACCTGCGGCCCTGGTGGCAGAACTCCTCGCTGGAGGCCTTCAAGAACCGGACGGCGTGCATGACAGAGCAGTACGGCCACTACACTGTCCACCGTGAGAACGTCAACGGCCGGCAGACGCTGGGCGAGAACATCGCTGATAACGGCGGGCTCAAGGCAGCCTACAACGTGAGTGCCACCATCCCGGGGGGACGCAGACCCTCCCCTGTGCCTGCATGTCCCTCCCCAGAGGGCTTCAGGACACCCCTCTCACAGGCATACAAGTCCTGGCTGCAGAAGAATGGGGAGGAGAAGCGCCTGCCGGCCCTGGGGCTCACCAACCACCAGCTTTTCTTCGTGGGCTTTGCGCAGGTAGGGTGGAGCAGAATGATGGGTTCCCCATCCCTCCCCAGCCCCTCAGAGACACCTCACAGACCCCCCTGAGGCTGCTTCACTCTGGCAGGTGTGGTGCTCTGTCCGGACACCCGAGAGCTCCCACGAGGGGCTGGTGACCGACCCCCACAGCCCAGACAAGTACCGTGTCATCGGCACCCTCAGCAACTCCCGGGACTTTGTCGAACATTTTCGTTGCCCCCTGGGCTCCCCCATGAACCCTGGCAAGCACTGTGAGGTGTGGTAGGGAGGGGGAAGGGTGGTGGAAACAGAGGGGATGATGCCTGGCTGTGCCCCCACCCCTGCCCCCTCAGCCCTCCCTGGCTGCCTGAGCTGACCCGCGGGCAGAGCGC